CCATCCGAAGGTGTTCGCCCAAGGGCATGGGAGGTTCAGGACCTGGTCTCCTGTCCCTGGTTGGCTTTGCTGGAGCAGGGCTCCTAGTCTACCTGGCGTGCCTCTGTGGTGAGTGGCTCATTCACGGCGGGACAGGAGCATCCTCAGAAAACGAGGAGGAGGGAGATCTGCGGGAATAGGGTGGGGACTGGGCTCGCAGGTAGTTGAGGTAAAGCTTCTTCTGACCCATCAGCCTTTAAAAAGGAAGAGAAAGCAGCTGATGGGATGGGAGATCTCATTAGCTGGGTAATTATCCTGCTGTCGCCCTTGCACAGAGCAGTTGGGAAATGCCTGGAGCCTGACCAACAGGTCACAGTCAAGCTCCGAAATTCCTATTTGTGTTGGCCACCTCTTCAGGGCTGACCAGTTTGTTTACAAAGGGCACAAAGTCCTCTTGCACCCGACAGCACAAACAGAAGCGTTTATTCTGCTCAGCGCCCCACAGATATGATGCCATTCCAGGAGGTGACTGATTATGTTGCATGTGGGATGCCAAGCTGCTTTTCTTATTTTTTATTCTGCCTCTTCCTGTCTCATTTTCATAGAATTGTTGATCTTTTTGGGTTGGAAATGACCTTCAAGATCATCCAGCCCAACCATTAATCCAGGACTTCCAGGCCCACTACTAACCCATGTCCATGAGCACCACATCTACACACAGCTTTTCAATCCCTCCAGAGATGACGACTCCACCACTGCTCTGGGTAGCATGTTCCAGGGCTTGACAAACCTTTTGGTGATGAAATTTTTCCAAAAAATTTCCCCCTTTCCATGAGACCCTTCTTTGCCATCAGAAAGCTGCCAGCTGCTCCCTACATTCACTTTCCTGAGTTTTTCAGTCCAGTAGCAGTGTTGACCAGGATTTCTATAAAAAAAAAATCTACATCCTCTCTAAAGAACATCGCCTTTCAAACATGGGTTGTGCAGAGCGTTTTTCTGGACTTCGATTTTCTTTATTTTTCATTTTGGTTTGAGCCAAAGGAGAAGCAGGTGTGTGCTTCACACAACCCACTGCCATGCGCAGAACCTCAGTGAAGCTTGGTGCAAGCAACGCTGTTCTTCCCTGCTTGCACCCCCATCCCTTCCCCCACCCTCTATCCCTCTTTTGCAGATTCAGCAGCTTCTCAGCGGGTTCCCCTCCGCTTGTCCGACGGTCCTCACCACTGCGCCGGCAGGGTCGAGGTCTTCTATGAGAACCAGTGGGGAACGGTCTGCGATCACGGCTGGGACCTGAGTGATGCCAGCGTGGCGTGCCGGCAGCTGGGCTGTGGAGCAGCGTTGTCGGCTCCTGGGGCCGGGCATTTCAGGGCAGGGTCCGGTCCCATCTGGCTGAATGATGTCAACTGCACGGGGACGGAGGCGGCCTTGTCTTACTGCAGGTTGAAGGGCTGGGGGAAGAACAATTGCCACCACAGCGAAGATGCCAGTGCGGTGTGCTTGGGTAACATGCCATGGGAATTACAGGGTGGGGCAGGGGGGTGACAACACAGGGTCTGCAGAGCGAGTCCCTTGCAAGGAGTGTTGTCCCCCTCCTGGTTTTTCTAAAAGCTCTGGCAGCCCCAGCAAGGGGTCTAACCCAGATTCATCTTCCCCATCACCACCACGGGAGACAGGATGGGTTCCATGCAGTCAGCTAGAGTGCACTCTCATGGCCTCCAAAAGCTTGGAGCTTCAAAAGCTTGGAGCTTTGGTGGCTGATCAAGGTGCAGGCGCTCATGGTGTTTTGTAGATGCTTAGGCCACCGGTGCTGGAATTTTCCAAGCAGACATTGGTGTGCTGATGTACTGAGCCCCCTCAGTTGTCGTTTTCAGCTGCAAAGAGGGCAAGCTGCCCCATGAACACCAGGACAAAAAGCCTTCCCTCCTTCTCCTGTCCAGCATCCTCAGGCTCTGCGACCAGAGGTTTTTAGGACCATGTGGCATCACCCCTGTCCCAGTCATGAGGTGTTTGCACGTTGGCAGCAACTGGGATCAGCCCACAACTGAAGCGGGGTGCAGAATGGTCCTGCAGAAATGAGGGTGTGGGTGGTTTTCACACCTCTTGTGCCCTCCGCAGACTCATCCAGCCACCCTACGGCCAGCCACATCGGTCCTGCAGAGGTCCGCCTGGTTAATGGCCCGAGTCGCTGCTCTGGAAGGGTTGAGGTGCTGCACAACCAACAGTGGGGAACTGTGTGCGACGACGACTGGAACTACGTTGATGCCAATGTGGTGTGCCGGCAGCTGGGCTGCGGGACCGCGGTCACAGTGTACGGTGCAGCTCACTTCGGCCAAGGGTTGGGTCCCATCTGGCTGGACAACGTTCAGTGCAGTGGGAGCGAAGCTGCCCTGTCCGAATGCCAGGCCAAACCTTGGGGTGACACCAACTGTGGCCATGAAGAAGATGCCAGTGTAGTATGCACAGGTAACACCACATTTGGGGACCAGGAGGAGAAGGTCATGGGAGGGTGCTCTGCTTTAGTGATTTGTCCTGGTTTCACAGCAGCTCCCGGCCCGGCATCCTTGTCCTCCTTGTC